AAATCACACATGACAGACCAAATAGTCTGGGGGGGGGGGTTCTCTAGGAATAGCCACTTAACAGGAAACTAAATGTAATTGAAGGCACCATCTGGCAAACAAAGGACTTAGGTGAACATTGAACATAGAAAGAAACCATGATCTCTTTCCTAGAAATTTTTGAGAGCTATTTCTATATCCAGATCTTTTTAAGCCCTATAAATACAAAACTTGTGCTATTTGAAAGAGGTATATTAATTTTTTGCTAGTTATTAACACTAGTGAAGTTTGGTGTGGCAAGTGATGCAAGTGTACACACTTAGCTTATAAACAAATCCAGTAGTTTGGACAGTTACACTCTTAAGGCTATAGCATGTCTCAAAAACATGAGAAAAATGAGCTAATACAGACTAGATTTCAGTTTCAACGTTTTAATAGGACAATGCACAATTATCTCTCTTCTGTTTCTTAAGTGCAGCATCTCAAGTTGTATTTGCAACAGTACCTAGGGTCCAGATGCAAAAGTGCGTGTTTAGAGATTTATACAGTTAGTGTGTTAATACTTAAGAAAAGAAAAGCTTTGAAGAAGTACCTTTGGAGATGTAGATTTGGGCAAGAGATTTCACACATCAAGTGGATCAAATTTCCTGGAGAAAACTGGAATAAATTTAAGGTTACTGACCACACTTACGAATGCATCTTATTTTTCAAGCTCATGAGTTGGTTACTGCACTTAAGCTATCTTCCAATTCTAGCTTGTTTATACCAAAGGATATCTTAGTTTCTGAAATGAGTATTAGTTGCTGATGTAACTTTCCTTTTTAAGCATCAAAGATTGTTAGCTGCTTTAAGTCTCCTCCTAGATGAGAAGTCAGAAGTGTTGACTGTGTGGGGACCTGAAGGCCCTGGCCCCCTCGGGAAAAGGGCTGTCAACCAAAATGCATAAAACTTTCCATGTGTCCATCATCTTGGGCCACCTCCCAGCAAAAATAAAAGTTGGTGCCTATGTGAGAAGTACTAAATCAGTGTGTAGTTGGGAACATCTTGTAGAATTTTCTTCGGTCTCTCTTAACTGCTAGTAACCTAACCATGACAGTGGTGGTGTTTCTGGCAAGCGTATCACTATATTCATACTAAAGTAAAAGTACTTAAAAATGAGTGACAAAAAGTACTGCTGCATTGTAAAATATTGTGCAAAATATTTAGGTTTTCTAGGTTGTGGATTTTTTAATTGTTTTAAACAGTTGACTTCAGTTTGCCTACTCTAAGCTTCAGAAGATTTGCTGTGCGTGTTTCTATCAAGATCAACTGAGAGAGAATACAAAAACTAGTAAAGGCTGTAAGACCAAGCAGCTCAAGTCCTGTAGTGGCTCAATCATAACATTCTTTTATTGGTTTCCTTGTTTTTCTTCTGTATAGTTTTAGACTGTATTACATACAAAGGTTTAATAAGGGAAGAGCAAGAAAATATCAGTTCCATGTACTCATAAGCAAGAGTATATGGCAGTTAAATTTGAGCTCTTCTAGATGTCACTGGCAGGCAAGGATCTTTGAGTAGATGTGATATCTTTTATTAGCAAGCTTTCGGGCAGTCACCCTTGTTCAGAAATAGGGAGTCTCTGCTCATCTGAGACTCCAAGGTGACTGCTCCTGAAAGCTTGCCAAGAACTTTTTCCCAAGTACTCAGTTGGTCTAATAAAAGATATC